TCTGCTTCACCAACTGAAAACTTTTCTCGACTTCATTAGTCCATACGAATCCCCCCTTCTTCAGAAAATCTGTGTTAGGTGTTATGATCGAACTAATGCCTCTGATAACCTCCTATAGAAAGTAGCCAACCCATGAAAACTACGAATATCATGCACTGTAGTAGGAGTAAGCCAATCCCTGATAACTGCTACCTTCCTTTGGTCAACCTTAATTCCCTCAGTTGAAACAACATAACCAAGAAAGATGAGGCTATCTATTATGAATTCATACTTTTTAAGATTCAAATACAATTTCTGTTCATTGAGCAAGTCAAACACCAACCATAAGTGCTCCATATGCGCCTGCTCACCAATGCTACACACTAGAATGTCATCAAAGTATACTACCACAAATTTCCCAATAAAAGGCTCGAATACTTGATCCATCGCCCTTATAAAAGCACTGCGTGCATTGGAGAGGCCAAATGGCATCACCAACCACTCATAAAGGACCTCTCGAGTTTTGAATGCAGTCTTCCAATCATCTACAGGTCAAACACAGATCTGATGGTACCCACTCCTCAAATCTATATTTGAAACACAGTAGCACCAACCAACATATCTAACATATCATCTAGGCACAGAATTGGGAAGCAGTTCTTGATTGTGATCTTGTTAATGGCTCTACTATCCACACACATGTACCAAGTCTGGGACACCACTGGCTCATGCTCTCTCAGATGAACCCCTTCTATAGAAGCTTTGCAACCTGTCTCTGTAAATCATCATCCTCCTTTGGGCTCATTCTATATAAGGCCTTGTTCGGTAGGCTAGACCCAAGAACGAGGTCTATGTGATGTTGGATGGCCCTCATGGGTGGTAACCCCTCTGGTAGCTCATCCGAAATGACATCACTATTGTCCCTCATTAAGGGCTCTAACTGTGGCAGAACCGAACTAATAAGCTTCTCCTCCACTTGGACCACTGCAAACAACATCGTTGACTGCTCCAATCCCTCCATAAACTCTGCCAAAGAAAGAAGGCTACTGCACCCTTCATCTGATTTAGATGCACTTTCCTTCTTAGATGGACCTAAAACCACTTTTATCCCATCTTTCACAAAGGAATGAGTGTTTCTAAATCCATCATGTATGGTATGTCTATCATACTGTCATGGCCTACTAAAAATAAATACACGCATCCAGAAGCACATCACCCCACACCTCATATTTATAATGTTGTCTAATAAAAAAGAAACTAGATAACACTCAGAAACTGTTACCTTATTTCCCTTTTTGAACAAAGTTATCTTGTATGGTTTTGGATGGCTCTATGTCTTCAACTTCAGCTTCTCAATCATCTCCTGAGAAACAATACTTTCACAACTGACCCCATCAATGATAAGCTTGCTAACCTTCCCGTAGGCCGTGCATCGAGTGTGGAAAATATTAGTGCGCAACCAATCTGCCAGATCAACTACCTTGGGTGTCACCATGTTGCATCGGATCACCAAAGCCTCCCCATGGTCACTAAAGGTTACTTCAGGCTCTTTATCATAAACATGGTCCCTATCAAAAGTTAGTTTGCTGCCCTCATTGAAGACTTCCTCAGCAAGGGCCACAAATTTTCTATGCGGGCACTGAGAAGAGACATGATCAATTCCCGCACACTTAAAGCATTCTATGGTGTTGTTGTTTTGGCCATTTGGGCGACTAGAACTAGCCCCAACACCCGTAGTTTCTTGCTGTTTGGAGGGACTTGCAGGTCGTGAGGACTGTCCAGCCAATAAATTTCCACCTTTTCCCTTAAATTTGCTTCCATTGCCACTTGAGCTACCCTAGCTTGCAGCCCACGTTGATGATGGATGCCTCATCTGAGCTTCAACCTTCACTACAAGGTTGTAAGCCTCATCTAAGGTCCAATACCGCTGTAAAACCACCACATCTTGTACAGATGATCTTAGCCCACCAACATAGCGAGCTAAGGACTGTTCTACCCTTTCAACCACATCAGTGCGAGCCATCAACTCATAAAATTCACCAATATACTCATCTACACTCTTTTCTCCTATGAAGGTTATTCATCTTATGATAAAGGGACTGCAAATAATTTTCAAGCAGGTATTTTTCTTTTAATTTCTTTTTTATAATATCTCATGTATTAATTTTGGAGTTTCCCACCCTCTCTCTTCTAGCCCTAAGTTGTTCCCACCATGTCGGGCCACCCTTTTTCAATTTTATAGAAATAGTTTTTACCCTTTTACTTTCAGGTACCTACTTATAATCAAAAACCCTTTCTATTGTATTTAACCATTGTTACCAATCTATAAATTCCTCGAGTTTAGGCTTACCATCAAAATCAGATATATCCACCTTCAAATCGACATCTCTCGCGCAACACACTCTACGTCTAGGCCTCCAGTCGCTATCCTCATCACTCGACTCCACAGCGAAACACAATGGTGAAAAGGGTTGTATTCGAGAACCTCTTGAGCTGAAAGATCACCGTCTTGCCCATTATTGAAGCTCACAAATTGTTGTGTCAGCTCTTGAACATGTCTTTCAAGTTCCTCAATTCTCTAATCTTTGGAATCACAGAACGGATCCATAAAAATCCCCCTACTATGCCATCTTCTCACTGCTATGGGTTCACCTAAATCACAAATCCTAAGCAAATAATCAACAAAAATTGCAGAAATCAACAAGATCTAGGTTATTTTGACAAAATTTTAGCCAAAATCAACAAAACCTAGACCCCACTGTAACTTCCCTCTTTGTTGTTGATCTAGTGCACCTAAAAACGTGGTTCTACAGTAACTTCATACGTGCTACGGAAACTTCCACATGCCTACAATAACTTCCATGTAGATCGCCGGCTTTGATATCAATTTGATATAGAGAACTTGAAGAAACAGTAGAAAATCAACAAGAAAGCACCATGACACATACAAATTTGGAGAAGCCCTAAGGCTTTCTCCCACTTAGGGCTCAAGCCTTAAGCTTCTTTTCCCAAGACAAAGTCCTTTCTTTTGTTCCTATTTGTGTTTTACCAAGCTCGTATATTGCTTAATCTCCTCTCTGATAGCTTCAGGGACCTAGGCACCTAGGCAGCCACCCAAGGACTCCCCACCCAAGATGCCCGCTTAGACCTTGGTAATGCACCCAAACCTCCTCCCTAGCCCACCTAGGCGCTAGGCAGGCCGCTTTTTGAAACACTAATAATACGGTCATTTATTGGGTATGTTTTGATAACCCATTCATGTCCCCTACCAAAGACAATGGGATATGGGTGTTGTTGGGTCAGCTTGAGGCCTAGGGTTCTAAGTCTGGCCTAGTAGAGTACCCTACTAGCCAACTGCATTTCCCAAAGAATCTTAATTTCCCTATTTATATTTTTCCTAGATGCCAAACTGGTTTAATTTGATGGAAAATGATTGAAAATGTTTTTAGCAATTTTTGTGAAGTTTTTTATTCTAGAAAAAATGGATTTCCAAATTTGATTAGGCGAAATTCCAAATGAGGACATGCCACAAATGTGGGAGCTGAGCACACAAGTGGCCAATGTGTGCCATGTAGACCCCACATGGTTGCCACAGCACTCCACGTGGATGTGAAAGTGGGCATGGCTAGAGCGGCGTGCCTCATTGTGTTTGGATGCATGAATTGTCCTAAATAAGTCATCATCATTATCAAAGGCTTTTCCCAACTATTTAGGTCAGCTAATCCTAAATATGTCTAATAGTGTTTATGTGAATTTGGCATGTGTGATATCTAGATATTTTCTTAATTTATGGGTTATTGTCCAGTTGTGTTTTAGATCTAAAACCAATTTCTAAGGTTGTGTTTTTTTATTGCACACCTGTGTGAAGTTATGACACCAAGTGTGTAAGCTAAGAAACTGTGTGAACTATGACAATGCATGTGTGGACAATGACACGTAGCGTGAGAAAGCATTTGTTTCAAATTCAAATGTTTTCATAAAGGTAGAGAGAAAAAAGCGGGTGGGATGCCCCACATAGAGTGACTTTATAAGATTGCTCTCCAGCCCTTGAAAAAAAGTGTGAATGATGAGGACTTTGGCATCTAAAACTTAGGGTTTCCAAACTCAAGTGAATTTCAAATTTAACTTAAGGAAAATTTGAAAATAAATTGGGGTCTTTGAGGTGATAAAGGTGTTAAATCTCAGCCAATACACTTGAATCACATAGACATTAAGTACATGCCAAGACTAGCTCAATCTCCTAATACAACTCAATAAAAAAACATGTGCACTTAATCTAAGGGCAGGGAAAGCCAATTCAAGTTGCTCGAATTTACCCGAATCACCTCCAAGGATTTACGTACATCCTTTGTTATGATCACTCCCAATAGCACAAAATAGGGGAGTTATCAATAACAAAGGGTGTACGTAAATCCTTGGAGGTGATCCGGGGTAATTCGAGCAACTTGAATTGGCTTCCCAAGCCCTTCGATTAAGTGCTCATGTTTGGTTTATTGAGTTGTATTTGGAGATTGAGTTTGTCTTGGCATTTACTTCATGTTTATGTGATTCAAGCATATTGTATTTGTCATCAATTATGTAATGAAATGTCTTATGTGTAAGCTTATGTATTTTTTGGCTCAATCTCCTTTGTCATTTGAGTGGGAGTTGTGCTAGGACAAATTGAAGTCATTTACATGTATTTTGGAGTGGATGCAATAGTCATTTAGAGGCTTATATAAAGATATATGTGGCTGTAATTTCATTTCAAGAGTTATAATTTGAGTTTCACAAAGAAAATTTTTATTTGTGCGTACGTTGAGCGAGACCTTTATAACCTCCGTCAATAATAATACCAGTGTGTCTATTACATACTCTTTGGTTTGTTCTTTGCATGCATCTTTGGATTGGTAGACAAACATTTGTTATTATAAAATGGCTGTACAGATTACAGACAGAAAGATGTGCACCCACACGCATGTTTGCACGCACACACACTGCCCGCCCTACACATACACACACGCACAGAGTAAATGGGGTACCTCACTTCTAAACTCTTCAAGGGCATCTCCTGAAATGTCTTGATCCAAGAATTTCTTGACAGCAACTTCCTAACAAAAATAACAAAGCTATCAAGGGAAACAAGGACATAAGAATGTAAAAATAGAACAACAAGAATACGTGAATGTAAGGCACATTTGTTCCGCGTGAAATATTTCCTACGAAATATTTTCACATGAGAATTCCCTCATGTGGTTAGGTGTGAGAATATTTTCACACCAGTTGGTCCAAGTGCATATTTTCAGACCAATTGGCAGCTAATTGGTGTGAAAAGATTCCCACATCTAATCACATGAGGGAACTTTTTCACATCACGCAAACCAAACGTACCCATAATGATTGTTAGAGAATATGCAAATATTACGTGACACCTCAATTGATCTCTTGTTTCTCATAAGCAACGGAATGCTACAAAAGGTCCATTACGAGTAAAGTACTTTTTAACTTAATAAACCGTTAGAGAGAGAGAGTACTGTTTAAAAAAAAAATTCCCAAATTTTATGATGAGCTTCTTTTTTCAAGAGATTAAAATTTATGACCAGTTTCTTCCCTATAACATACACATTATAATTGCATATCCATGGCATCCACTGTCGCATCCACTATTTGTTCTCCACATTGACAGTGGAGATGAATCTCAGTTAACAGTTCTGGGGCAAATGATTATCATCAAAAGGGAAGGGAGTTCACAACATATTAACCCACCACCCAAAACCTCAAACCAGGCATACAATCCCAGGATGACTAAAAGGAAAGATACCACAATATTAGACATCCTTCATGCACTGACCATAGTACAATGACACTCACACGAAAGCCAGAAACATCCATATGACCCCAAAAGCTAAGGAAAACTCACACTTTTAAGGCAAAGTCACCATGAACAAGAAAAGGTCCAGAATAACCTCTGCCTCAGTATATATCATACAAGTGTTAAAGAAATGGGAATTTATAGGGTGAAAGAAAACTAGATTACTATCTTTTAACTACAATTCGCATTGGGGAACAACCCTTTGGGCCTCAAAGCTTTTCCAATACCAGCTGCTCATCACATCCGCAAGGACATAATAAAAGGAAGCAGACGATTGCAAATAAGCAAGATTGCACAACCCAATGATCTTAGGTACTTATTTGATGCAGGACCAGGGGGGTTGGCTGGTACATGCGTGATGATAATGATGATGATTAAAGTTTTAAATATCAGATTCAGACGATGAATCGCCAGGAGCCCTTTTCCAAGTAATACATAGGTGATAGGGAAGAGATGGATATGGTTAGGGCAACAATTAGAGTCTGGTTCCAATGTTGTTAAGGGGGTTGAACTTTCTAGAAATTTATTGGCTTAGCAACACTGATGTTGATTTTGAAGGCAACAAGGTAGGGATAAATTAGGTTGGTGAGCTTAGGGGTATGGGATGATGGGATCAAGGAGGAGGTAGCCTATACTATTAGAGCATGGGTTGGTTGATTTGATGGGGCAGAAACAGTGTTCCAAAAGGTGGATTCTGCCCCTAGGCGGGGTGCTTAGAAACCTGGGCAGCCCCAAAAGTGGGGGTCGGGGAGTGATATATGTGTGTGTGTGTGTGTATATATATATATATACATATATATATAACAAAAGTTGGTCGAGAAGTAGTAGGACACACAAATGGCATTTCCAGCTGAAGCTGCAAACCCATATATATATTATATATATAGGAAAAACCTAAAAAATACCTATTGAACGGAACCGCAACGGACAACGTGTCATCCATTGCGGTTCCACGTGAAGTTTTTACCACCACGGACCTAATGTGACCGTGATGTTACTGCTACAGACCTGCTAGGTCTGTGGCGGTCAAAAACCGTACACCGCCCGATTTTTTCAGACAATGATGAGCCTAAGGGCAAAAACATTGTTCATTTTTGCCAAAAGGCATTGAGTAGATGTTTCCACATATATATATATATATATATACGTGTATGTGTGTGTATATGGGAAATGATGGTGTAAGCCCACTAGCTTTCATCTATATATGAGCCCAACGGTCCAGATTCAATCTGAGCCAATCCAATGATCACAAATGCATTTCGTATTTTAATTTTATTTTTTTCTATAAATCCAAATCACTTGAAATTTTGGTCGTGTTCTTTAAAAATAGAAGAAAACAATAAAAATATCAAAAAAATATTTTGTGCAAAATAAATTGACCAAAATACCTTCGAAACTTTTCAATGGTATTTTGGTCAGTATAAATTTTGTGAATTATTTTTTAAATATTTTTATTAGGTGTGCCTTAATGAGAAGAATAGACGCCTAAAATTTCATGCGATTCGGATTTGTAGAAAAAAATTAAAATTAAAATACGAAATGAGATAGTGACCGTCAGATCAACCCAGATTCAATCTAAGTCATTGGGCTCAAATGTAGTTGTACGCTAGTGAGCCTACGCCATCATTTCCCTATATAT